TGAAACGTTTTAAGATTACGGAAACAGTGATTGTTTATTTGAATTTTTATTTTTAGTTTTCTATTTCAGTAGCTTGTTTGCAATGTGCAGTAACTAAACCTATTTTGTTATTGTTTAGTTATTGTGCTACTTACCACGGGACGGAGTTATACAACACACATTTTTAAAGAGGTGAAATATAAATATGAAATTTTATTAAAGCAGTCGACCATAATGTGAACTTTTGAATGACTTATTATAATTAGAGATGGGATCAAGTTCAATATGTACTTGCAAAACCGAGTTAACTTAAATAACTATGATTCATCACACAGGTTTTGAATACTTCTCAGAAGCAATAATATTTCAATGATTATACTTAATCCCTTACCAGTCCAGCCTGCGAGAGTCACGGACTTTATATGTATATATAAACATACAGCTTTTTAAAAAATGGTATGAATTGCATTGTATGTATTTACAAATTATTTTTTCACTTTTATAAATAAAAGAAAATCATTTACTACTAGAATCCACTTCTTTTACATCAGAATAACGTAACCAAATTTATTAAAAGTGCCAGTTAGCCATTTTTTGAACCGATTTCGTTAAATTTGCGGAATTGACAAGGAGTTAAAATGTATCCATTTTATAGAAATATTTAGATATCAAACTCTGGAATTACTATTTTCAGATTTCGAAGAGGTGCTTAGAAGTACTTCGATGTTATGGAGATTCGAACCTTTCATAAGTAGTACTCGAATCTTGAAAATCAAGATTATGTAACAGTTTCAATTAATATGTTCAATATAGTGCTTATAATTGGATTTTATTCATCTAATTTACAATTGTTTAGAAATAACATTTTATTTGCAATATTTGACTTGGAACCTATTTCTTTTTTCATCAATAATATTTCCTGCTTTTAAGGATTGCTTCAGCGTTCATATTCTCCCTCTTAATAGCTGCTATCGGTCGCTATTGGTCGAAAACGGTGGCGAAAATCGACGGCAGTCGCTAACGACCGATAGCTGCGGCAGTGGGGCAGCTAGTAAGAGGGGGAATGCAAACACAGAAATGCTTTCTTGTCGCGCGAGGACTATACATATAGAATTTAATTATGCATTGCAATATAATTACACATAATTACTTTTAAAAGTAACAAAAAGAGTGAGTAGGAAGATCAGAGAATTTCTAATATAATATTTATGACAGTTTCGAGTCTATTTGATTAAAATTCGAGTGTACTTGGAAGTACTGTTTCTTTTCGCCAAAGTAATTACAGAGGAACCTACTTTACTACTACTACTTCGTAGAAGTTCGAGTATATTTGCAATATATTATAAATCCCGTTTCTAATTATAATATTATATTTTTTCTCCAGAAAATAAAATTTATTAAATCATATTAAATATTATACGAGGTGGAGACACAGTAACTGATCTTCGTAGACTAGAGGCACACAATAACTGGGTTCAAAACTTATCTTTTCTTTCTCGTAATATTAACAGATTTAATATTTGTTTCGTGAGAAAATTGATAACCATAAAAGAAACATTGAAATTTATATACTTTTAAGTTTTCAAGATTCTGTCAATTAAATTGCTAAAGTTGTTTTCATTTACGAAATTTCTGAAATCCACTAACAGAGCACAGTAATTGGCTTCTCTACCCTATTTGCTACATTTTGAATATTTCAGCAATTTATCCTTTAAAAAACGGAAGGCTGCAGCACTTCCAAAATTTTCAAGGTCGTTTCACACACCGTACGTTACGTAAAAGCCTGGAAAAATTCTTGTGAAATAATTCGGACCACGGCTCGCGTTATCCGGCGGCTAATCATCTTCGCGCTCGGCTCTATACAAAAGTGCATGCTGCACTCCATGCAAATACAACAGTTGCTGTTAGCCGACTTTTCGTAAAAGTTCGGTGCTGTCGGCGTTGTTCTCGCGGATATTCGTTCGTCATCCCGGTCTCGCGTAGACAGCATGAAATTCTGCTTAAAAACAGGTGGTTCGTGTGCGCGGCCGGGAGGGCGTCGACGAGGAATTTATTGGACAAAAGAAGAAAACGCGCGTGGCAAGAGAGAGAGAGAGAGAGAAAGAGAGAGAGAAGAGGAACTACGAATGTTCCAAGTTTACCGCTTGTCCTTCAAGACTTCGACGGGTCTCGCGCAGCTTTCCATTTATTGCCGGAGTTTAAGCGGTCGCTCTTGCCAACTTGCGCGGACATTATGCCGGAAAACATGGAAGATAATCCGACTGGAATTTAACTGGATGGATGACGAACTTGTGACGACCGTCACGAAACTTTTTGCCGTTCCTTGTGTTCACGGGGATGCAGTTCCGTTGCCACGTTACAACGATGAAAACGTCGACAACTATTTAACGAGCCAGCCTACTGCACGAAGAGCGCGACTTTTCGAATTTTCCCCATGAAGACCGTTGCACGGATGAACTCCAAAGACGCGGACTTATTGATGCACGATTCCGAAACATGCGGTAATGGTTTTAAGCAGAAACATCGATCTTGTCAGAAATTATTAGATCGCATTGAAATTGAAATTATTATTCTGTAGTGTAACATTCCAGATTCGGAAGCGGCTGCTGTAGTTGCATGGCTCCAGAAAATTATAAAAGGGTTTCGATTATTCAAGAAAGCGATCGGCTGCTTTAAATTTGAAGGTTAGAATTTTATAAGCATCGATTTTATTTTTAGGACACTTACTGGATGTGTCTTCGTAAAGTTTCAAATTAATTGGCAGTATTAGATTAATGGCATTGGGGTCACTTCGTTTGAAATTCTCGACATTCAGAATTTGTCGAGAATGCAATGCGATCGTCTGAAAATTAAAGATTCCACGTAACATTACAGGTCACGTGCTTGCTATAAAGACAGAAGAATTCTTCCCTTTTGGAGACGTTTTGCAGTTGGCGAATTTTTCCACCTGTTCATAAATTTGGTACTGCTACGTGGAAGAGCATGACACTGACTGCGCGTTACGAGATAAGGAAGGTACGTGCAGCAATAATATAATGAAATGACCTAATATATTTCCAACGATCTGATAACTGTTACAGATAAGATCATCGGCTGGTCGCCTACGTCAATTGGACAAAGCATGCAAAAGAATCGAGCACTTTTTACGACTATTTTACACAACAACACAGGTACGCATGCCTTTAGCGTTTATTAATCAATTGCAAATGGTTCGATTAACGTTTGCACATAAATGGAATCCGAATGCATTGTTCGCAGCTTCTCGACGATAACCTAAGTGCCTATTAAGCTAGATTGCTCCCAGAACAAGGGGAATCGAAGCACTTAATACCCAATACAGCACAGCACTTAATACGAGAACATCTTTAATCAACTATATACAGAATCGATTTTACTTCTTAACTCTATTGATCACGTTTTTTATAATATCTAACCGTAAATGTACTCATTTAATGCTATTTAATATTAATTATGTGTAACATTTGAACGCGAGGTTTTAATGATTTACTGTAGCTTTTGATAACGTAGGGGAAAAACTTTGTAATGCTTTAGATTGTAATAAACCTCATTTTCTGAATATACTTTGATATTAGACCTCGTTTTTTTGTGACTAAAATTATGCATCGTGAATGATAAAATTCATATATATTATACAGGGTGTCCCACAATTATTTTAACAGCCGAAAATGAGGGGTAGCTGAGGTCATTTGAAGTAACTTTTTCCTTTGCGAAAATGCAATCCGCGGCTTTGTTTACGAGTTATTAACGAAAAACACTGGCCAATGAGAGGTGACGGTGCGAGAGAGAGGGTCCGCGAGAGAGTCCGCAGCACGAGGCTTTGACAGAAGGTCGGGACGGACTCGAGCCGCGTTCGAAGTATTGAACAAGTCACGAAGCGAGAACTTTCCGGATTTTTTTAACTACATAACAGTGATATTTTTAAGAAAAACGCTGTTCACCTTTACTTTAGAACGTCTGAAGAATATTCACTAATTTTTCGGACTCGAAATAATATGTAGTTTAACCGTGACAGTCGTTTTAATTTTCTGGTGTGCATGACACCTTATGTGTACCATATGAAATTTTTATGCAAGGTGTACAGTGAAGATTAACAAAGTTCGTAAATGATATTTTAATTTAAATAATTCCGTGTACGAACAGAATTCAACGAATGATTCGCAAAGCTGATTTAATAATAAATAATCGCGTTAAGGTACGTAAAGGATTTGTTTTTTAGAGAAATATGAAAAATATTATCGATAAGAAACTCACCCATTTAGTTGAGGATGCATTTGCTGACTCGTACGTACTGACCTCGTACAACGAACAGCTGATCCCAGGTCGATGACCGCAACATTCGAGGGATACTGTCGGTGGAACCTCTGGTATGGTTATTTGCGAAGTTCACTTACACTGCACTGTCACCAAACACTGATCAGTTATTTAATCACTGATAATCCGAATCACTTGTGGATATTTAAGAAAGATCACTGAGACTCGTTCGCGGATAATCGTTTATTCGACGCGTTCGTTCGGAAGTCGACGTTTCACTGCCAAAAAATCGAGGCCTCGACCGTGGGCCCTTGTCGTTCGTCTTTCGGCCGTCCGAGGAAATAACACCCGATACTATTTTCTTCGAAGCGCAGGGTACCGCCAAATGAAATAAACAAGATATGCCGAGACGTAAACTGTGTCCGACCCGCTGTCACCCTGCGCTCTTAGAACGTAATTAATGGCCGTGCGAAGAAAATGGTATCGAGTGTCATTTCCTCGGACGGCCGAACGAAGAACAACAAGGACCCACAGTCAAGGCCTGAATTTTTCGGCAGTGAAACGTCGACTTCCGAACGAACGCGTCGAATAAACGATTATCCGCGAACGAGTCTCAGTGATCTTTCTTAAATATCCACAAGTGATTCGGATTATCAGTGATTAAATAACTGATCAGTGTTTGGTGACAGTGCAGTGTAAGTGAACTTCGCAAATAACCATACCAGAGGTTCCACCGACAGTATCCCTCGAATGTTGCGGTCATCGACCTGGGATCAGCTGTTCGTTGTACGAGGTCAGTACGTACGAGTCAGCAAATGCATCCTCAACTAAATGGGTGAGTTTCTTATCGATAATATTTTTCATATTTCTCTAAAAAACAAATCCTTTACGTACCTTAACGCGATTATTTATTATTAAATCAGCTTTGCGAATCATTCGTTGAATTCTGTTCGTACACGGAATTATTTAAATTAAAATATCATTTACGAACTTTGTTAATCTTCACTGTACACTTTGCATAAAAATTTCATATAGTACACATAAGGTGTCATGCACACCAGAAAATTAAAACGGCTGTCACGGTTAAACTACATATTATTTCGAGTCCGAAAAATTAGTGAATATTCTTCAGACGTTCTAAAGTAAAGGTGAACAGCGTTTTTCTTAAAAATATCACTGTTATGTAGTTAAAAAAATCCGGAAAGTTCTCGCTTCGTGACTTGTTCAATACTTCGAACGCGGCTCGAGTCCGTCCCGACCTTCTGTCAAAGCCTCGTGCTGCGGACTCTCTCGCGGACCCTCTCTCTCGCACCGTCACCTCTCATTGGCCAGTGTTTTTCGTTAATAACTCGTAAACAAAGCCGCGGATTGCATTTTCGCAAAGGAAAAAGTTACTTCAAATGACCTCAGCTACCCCTCATTTTCGGCTGTTAAAATAATTGTGGGACACCCTGTATATCGAGAAATAGGTGATCATTGGTCAAGATATGACCGCTTAACACGAGAACTGCCGAACTCTAAACACGAGTAATGTATATTGTTTCATAACAATGAGAATTGTATTTAATTTGCTTAAACTTCGTATGATTTCTATTATAATTATAATGATTTTTATTATATTATAAATTTCTATTAATTATATAAACTGATTTGTGGTAGTTCTAGTGCTAATATCATAAGCCAATTACAACCCCCGGTAATAAGTATTTGGTGCAAAGCAATGATAACGAATTAATTAAAAAACCGGGATTTGTTAAACCTATAAAATTCTGCAATATAAATATAAAAGTCTTGATGAAACTTCAAATTGGACGTGGAAACTTCAAATACGCGACAGATACAACGAGACACGAAAATATTCGCGCATCTTTTAAAACGGAATATCTTTTTTATAATTAGGCCAAGCGATCTAAATTTTGTTAGAGAGATTCATTTATTAGACAATGGCTGAAAAACTGTTTTCAAAAATTGCAATTGGTTGGTATGATAAAAGAATTAAAAAATGATGTTTTTCTCAATTGTTTTATCTGAGGCCATAACGAAAATTTAACTTTGACTTATAAACATGCTGATCTACAAAATGCATTTTTTAAATTTTCGTTATAGGCTCAGATAAAAAAGTTAAAAAAACATCATTTTTTAATTCTTTTATCATGTCAACAAATTACAATTTTTCAAAATAATGTTTTAGCCATTGTCTAGTAAACTAATCACTCTGACGCCCAAAAAATAATTTAGACCGTTTGGCCGAATTATAAAAATGTTATTCCGTTATAAAAGGTGTACGAATACTTCCTACATCCGCTATATATGTCCAATTAAAAGTTACCAAAAGGCAAGCAATATCGCTTTTTATTTTAATTAATCCGGTACTATTGTTTCTGGTTAAATACTCCTTGCCAAGTTACTGTTACCATTTCTGCAGAAATTATGATAAAAGCAGCATTTCTACATTGAACGATTACAGGGCTAAAATAAATTTAGAAAATGATAGCGAACGTGATACTGAAAGTGAACGTCATCGATGTACAAATATCCACAATCGAAAATCCACGCTAGAAGATAAAAGGGTTTCGCTCAATTGCACCGACGCGCCTAGCGCAATCTCTAACACTGTTCATCCGCAAACACCGTGATTCGTGTCTCGCGAGTGCGCCCGAAATCACGCGCAAACTATGCAATGTCCGCCTCCCCATAAATTAATTGTAACTGATCAGTTTCAATCAGTTAATCGGTCAGTGAAAAGGGAATCGTTATTTGGTACAACGCTCTCGGTTCGCGAGGGCGTATTCGGTACGCGATAGACCAGCATCCTGTTGCAAATAACTCGAGAGAGTAACACGAGTTCGGTATAAAACCAAAATTCGGTCCAAGCTCGACCCTCCGTTCCGGTTCCAATTTGCACCGGCTTATCCGGCCAGAGGAGCGAAAAGGATCCGGTCGCTTGAAACAATCGGAATCTCTACTCCCTCTCTGCTCCTCTCCCTCTCTCTCTCTCTCTCTCTGTTTTTTCTACCCTTTCTCTGCCACGTCGGATGGCACGCATAACCGACAGCCAGGAAACTGACGAACCGGACCTATGTGCATTAGCTGATGAAAGAGCAACGGTTTAGCCGGCTTTTTGACTTCGGGACCTGCTCGAGAGGCAAACACCGCCGCGCCAGCCGGGTGAAGCTCTCGCGCCAGACGGAAAGCAGAAACAGCAGTCGCTATGAGGATAGCATCTGAATAATGGAGGCTGGCCGGTGTTACTGCTGCCTGGATTTTTGGATGTGCGAATCTTGAGCAGCCGCTCGATCTAGATTCAAGCGATAAAAGCTAGATTGTATGGGGACTCTGACGTTTCAGATCTTGCTTTATGTCGCTGCGCCGAATGAATATGTCATGTTCACCAATTTGCACTGCAGCAACAAGCCGCTGTCAATGTACTAAAATTTTTCTCTGCTTGTCAATCTAAAATGAAGATTTTCGATCTATGCGAAACATTTCAAATGTTGTATATGAAACAATTAAAACGTTGTGTAGTTTTTACAAACCAGGTATACCTTTCGTTTCGATAATTGATCGAACAGGTTTCAACGTTAACAATTACACAAATATCTGTAGAATCATGCGCAGAATCAAATAGAATCAAATAACTCCCATCAATCAATAACTCCCAGAATCAAATTCATTTTCCGAATGCTGTTATTTATAATTGGAACTAGAG